CTTCCAATTATCTTAACAGCAATGAGTGGGTGAACCAGAATCAATATCCGAAGTTCCCTCTTACTGCTGACACTACAATAGGTCCACCATAGTTATGGCTTCCCGCCTTCTTCCACCTCTCACATGCCTAGGCTATGGCGGACTACTGAGGGCTCTGCCCTCCTGTGCAAAGGACAACGCAAAGCAGCTATGTCGCTGCGCTCCTATCCAAAGGACAACCCAAAGCAGCTATGCCGCTGCTCACTAAGCCACCATGCCTGACTCTGCCTCGAGCTTCCTTGGTGTGGCACTACCCCAACTGGGGCCTTCCAGATGCAGCGCCCAACAAGGTGATGAAGATGGTGTCCACCATAGCCAGGTAGGTACCTCGCCACTCTCCTCCTTCGCCCCCTTCTTTCTTCTTCTCAGGCGGGGCTGCTCGCCATAGCCAGGCTGAGCACCCAGTTGCTCTTCACCTCCAGGCAGCGCTTCCCCAGTCCTGCGCTGGCTCCAGCAGCATGTCGCCAATCCTTGCATACCGCAAATGAGGAGAAGCTGCTTGCTCCTCCTGAAGATATAGCGGCCTACTGGCCTCTTGGGCGGTGACTTCCAAGGCTGAGCGGCCTCCCACCAACCGGTACCTCCTCCCTTTCGGAGGGAAACATCATTGCAGGCTCTGCTATCATCCGGACAGGCCCTAGACTCAGGCTACTTGGACTGGTACTGGCCTACCTCTAATCTACCGTGAAAGGGTATTCACCTGTTCGCAGTAGCCGATGCAGATCCCAGGGCTCGATCCCTAGACTTACCTTACAGGTACAGTATCTGTGTCGACCCCAGGAGTTGAACCCACGACCTGTGTTCTTTCCCCAGTTGGTAGGTCGTCGTAGGCCTGTAGGTTATAGGGGTTCGATCTGTAGACCTGTCGGATAGGAGTCTTAGCAAGGTCTAGAAGTCGTAGTTGTAGCTCCTCCGAAAGGTCAAGGTCGTCGCTGCTACAGTCCTGAAGGGTCAAGGCCGTAGCTGCTACAGTATTGAAAGGCCAAGTCCACGGCCTTCCGGAAGGTCCTAGTAGTGGCCTTTCAAAGCTGCTCATGTTTAGGCTGAGGCAAGTGGGCAAGTGGTGGAGTCTACCCGTGCTGAGTCAGCGGTCCCAGTCCCAGTCAGTCCTAGTCCCGTCAAGCAAGTACCGTATGGGAATGTGTGCACCACGGGCATGGGAAAGGGGCAGACCAACGAGATACAGAAGTATAAATCAAGAGGCAGYGCCCAGCCATTCATTCATTCCTGCGTAAGCCATGCGGAAGCGCTGCCACAGTGACTTGTGCGAGGTGGTCTGCAGTGTGCCCGAAGACGAAGTGGGGGAGAAGGAGCTTAGCCATAGCGGTAGGGATAGCAGCGTCCATAGCCGCCATAGCTGATAGGAGAGTGTAGCATGTATGTGTATGCGTGTGTGTACAGTGTGATGCGTGTGGGATATCCAGGGTGATCCTGTGTGTGTGTGAACAGAGAGTTGTACATGCGCTATGACGCCATAGCCCTTTGAAGTGAACTTGTATCTGAACTGCGTTCTTGGTTTCCATATCTCTGAGTTCTGAGTGGGCGCTTGTCCCCAGTTTGCTGTGCAACCTGTTTACATGCATACGAAGTGTGAAAGATAGCGAGTCTGATTGCAACCGCTACTGGGCCTCTAAAAATGCCAACTTTTGTCTTCTTCTACTCGGCCTCCAGTACCCGACACTTCTACCACTACTTGAATGGTACCGGCCTACCTGCTACTTGAGTGTTTTTTCCTGCTGCTCTAAGTGTCGCGGGCCTACCCCCGCAACTTTAGTGTTTTCCCCGCAGCAACCCTCAAAGTCACGGTCACAGGTAAGTACCGGCCCTGCGGGGCCTTGCAACCAACAAGTACCCTTGCGGGTCACACACACACTCAGCCGACAAGCACTCAGACAGGCACGCAAACCAGCTGGCAGGCACACGCACACAGACTTAGGAATCACAACAGGATGCGGGAATCTCAGCAAGGCATGCATTCCAATGACAAATCCCAGAAATCAGCAGTGTTCTCAGTCTATGTTTTGGCGGGTCATTACACTACCCCCCTCCCTGAAGCGAGGTCCCTTCGAGCGAGTAACTCGTTCAGAGTCGTCACAAAATGCATCGTAGGTGTAGATCAGAAAGAGAGCTTTGGTAAAACTGTGAGGAGTGAGTTTTGCAGACAACTTAGTAATCTGTTCATCGACAATCTGTCGTTCATCAGCGTTAACAACACAGGGAGCATTCTTTAGCAGTTCTTTTCGGTCGATCAAGTAGAACTCGTTCAATGGGTGATAGAGGAAGTGAACCTTGTACTGTTTGTTTCTCCCTCTTCCTTCATGGGAAACAAATCTGTCTATTTCGTGGCCACCGTTGATAGGACGAGGTATCATAGGATCTCTGAAGGGAAAAGTCTCATCATCAATGTGTATAAACAATTTGGATGTGTGAAAGACGGGATATGTGCGTAGATGAGGAGGCACATCAAGCACATACGAAGGACCAAAATCATCCCCTACCACCTTTAGAACTTGCCAAGGGCCATAGTACAGTGGAAGAAGCTTTCGTGATACGCCCTCTTCGTAAGAAAACTCAGACATTTTGACCCCGACATAACTTCCTACATCGAAGTTCCCTTCTTTGCGCGACTTGTTAGCATGTTGATCATGGCATGTTGACGCTTGTTCATCGCTGCGATAGCAGCTTTGAGCAAGCGTGCATACTTGGCATTGTAGCCAGGCATGTCGGGTGTCAGACCAGGTGACCGTTCGGGGAACAAATAGGAGAGAGGATTGCGCAGCTGCCAACCATATTGGAGCTGATTCGGTGTCACGCCAGTTGCAGAGTGAATGGAGTTGTTGTACAACCCCTTCTCTTTGTGTAACTCTTTGTCCCACATGTTCTGGTCTGGAACAATTAACGCTCGAAGTAGTTGAATGACAGTCCGGTTGATTGCCTCGGTCAATTCGCTTTGGTGTGTCAACCAGAAGTCTTGTTGAGTTTAATATCGTAGATCTGAGACGTGAAGTCCTTACAATCAGCACTAATGAACCTGGTGTCCCAATCACTCAAAACAGTTTTCGGGGGCCCATACTGCAGAATGTACTGCTGGTGAAACTCTTCGATCACAAGCTCAATTGGTGCATGAGAAGGTAGAGGAATCAAATTCAGAAATTTGGAAAAACGATCCACGATGACCATGACTTGTGAATGTCCTCCCTCGCTCACCTTCCCCATGTCTTTGAAATCGATAGAGACCGACTCACCGGGTCCATCAGGAATGGGGAGGGGGTTCAACAGGCCATAAGGTGTATTGCCTATGAACCTTAGTTCTTTGACAGACTTGACATTCAACAATAATTTTCTGAGCAGATCCCTTCATTCCTGGCCAATCAAGTTGTTGCAAAAGACATCCGTAAGTCTTCTCAAAGCCAAAGTGTCCACTCCGACCATGTGCCAAATCCAAGAAATGAGTCCGGAGAGGCGCATGGTTGGGTACACACAAACGATCAAACTTCTCATACCGGCGGAATACAAGACCCTCACACTCGTGAAAATCAGGCTGACTGCTAGGGTCGGCCTTGAGCTGCTCAAGGATGGGACTAAGGTCCGGATCCTTGACAATTTGTTCGACAAGATCCTCCTTCAGTTTCTTTCGAAGGTCATACGAGCTCACAAGGCAAGTCAAAAACTCAGGATGGCGCGACAAAGTATCAGCAACACGATTATATCATCCTTTCTTGTGTTTCAGTTCAAAATTGTAAACATCAATGTCATGCAACCAGCGGGCCAGCATTAGAGAGAGATCAATTTGCGTTTTAATCCACTGCAAAGTCTGATGATCTGAGTAAACCTTGAAGTGGTGATCCAAGAGGTAGTGCTTCCAATGTGTGAGCGCCTCTCGCAAGGCATAGAGCTCACGCATGTACGTGGAGGTAGCTACTTTGTGGTCTGCGTTTGTTGTAATATTCAAGTGGACGCAGGCCATCGCCATCATCACTGCGCCGATCCCATACTGGCTCCCGTCCGTAGTGACTCCCAACGTGAGGTTGGGATCCGCAATGCGTAGCACAGGATAACTTACCAAAGCCTCTTTCAAGGCTTGGAACGCAGTCTTGCATTTCTCACATCACACATAGGCAACAATTTTGCTTGTTAGTTTTGCTAGTGGGTGAGCAATAACATAAAATTTGGGCACAAACGTCCGGTAATACGAAGCCAAACCAAGAAAAGAACGCAGTTCGCGCACGTTCGTCGGGAGGCCACTTTTGTATGACCTCAACCTTGGTTGCCTCCGGTCAAGGCCATTTGCAGACAACCGGTGCCCAAGATAGATGACGCTCTTCCTTCCAAACTCAGAGTTCGTCAAGTTGAGGTGCAGTTGTGCCTCCTTGAGGACTTACAAAACCTCCTCAAGGTGCTTGACGTGCTCTTCCATGGTCTTGCTGAAAATCAGGATGTCGTCAAGGTAAACAACAACAAACTTGTTGAGCTGATGGCGGAGAACCTTGTCCATGAGGCACTGAAATGTGGCTGGTGCATTCGTAAGACCGAAGGGCATAACAATGAATTCATACATCCCATCGCGTGTTTTGAATGCAGTTTTGTGCTGGTCGCTCGGATCAACTTCAATCTGGTGGTAGCCAAACTTGAGGTCGATCTTGGAGAACACTTTGCACCCACCTGCCACATCTAGCAGATCATCTATGTGAGGCAAAGGATAAGCATTATTTCTAGTGATCCGATTTAGGCCACGATAGTCGATACATATCCGGAGTTTGCCTCTTTTCTTTGGCACAAACAGGACAGGCGCACCGAACTCAGACTCGCTAGGCCTAATCCATCCATGATCAATCATATTGTCAATTTGTCTCCTCAATTCTTCCAACTCGCCTTGTCCTATACGGTAGACGCAACCCTTTGGAGAAACACTCCCTTCTATTAACTCGATCTTGTGTTTGACCGGACGATCGGGAACTCCACGAGGTTCAACCAAAACTTCAGGAAATCGATCTAATAGACGGCGAATGTTTGTTGGGACTTCCGATGGAAGATCATCCTCGCCAGGAGAGAGGAAATCAGATTGAGAATTTTTAGTAATTACAACCGAATTCAAGTTGGATCAAAAGTAGACTGATTTCTTACAGTAGAAGTAGATGGAACAAAAGTAGAAATAGTAGAAGTAGAAGTATTTTCCAAGGTAGAAAATGTAGTAAAAGTAGAGGGCACATGGAGGGGCTTCACAAGAGCTACATGCACATGCTCATCTTCCTTAAGCCTGCGCACCGATTTGCAAAATTTGTTTGCACTCGGAAGAGTCCTTAGGGATTCGCGCATCACGTCCAATAGAACGATATGCTCATTCCCCTTTGCATCACGCACCACGAACTGAGTATCCGCCCACATAGTCCTTAGACAATGAGCCTTTAACCAGCCCAAGCCAATGGCCGCGTCGAAAGGACACTTGTCCAGGATGAAAAAGTTCAACTCGTGTGTGACAGTGCGATCCTTGTCAAAGGTGATGCGCACACCTTTGACAACAGGTGTTGAGGTGACAACCTTTTGGTTCCCTACCTGGGTCTGACAAGGGTTCTGCAATTCCACTTGCTTTATTCCCAAACCCGCCTTACAAATCCCGTTAGGAGAAAATAAGTTATTCGTTGAGCCATTATCAATCAACACGCAAATGTATTGGCAGTTCATGTGCAACTTAAAGAAGATAAGTTTCACACTCCCTTGAACACGGCGTTGCTGCTTGAGTTGCAGCCAATGTTCCAAGTGAGAGTGGAAGTTGACTTCCTTAGTCTCCTCCCAAGGCTCAGTGTAAAGTACTTGGATTGTGGCAGCCTTGGATTCGGCATCAGTCCGGGCTTCAAGAGCAGGGTGTTGATCAGATTCAGGCTCCTTGGAGGGGCCTGCAACTGACTGTTCAACTTCCCTTGTTGTAGAGAGTGCTGATAACTCTTCTACGCCCTTTGCTTGTTTCCCTGCAGATGATGACATTCTTGCACAGCGTGCCCTGGCTTTTGACAATGCAAGCACACACGCAGTTTATATTTTCTCTCCCATTCCTTTTGACTACTGCAGAGGGTTTCCCAAGGCTTAGTGGAAGCATCCTCCGGTTTCTCTGGGATCTTTGCATTCTTGGGGAGGTGTGTTATAGTTCCCCTACTCGAACTACGGTTAGGCCCCTTGCTTGAAGTAGTCTTTTTGAAGGCATTGCATTTTTCTTCGTCATTAATCTCAGACTCAAGGGCTGATGTAGAACAACCCATATCAGAGTCCAGCTCTAGATAGTCATCTAAGACAGATCATCCGTGTAGGACTGATCCTCAACCTCCCGATGTTCATGCAGGGCAAGTTGGTTGCTGCTTCCGTACCGCTTGCGTCGTAAGGTTTTACCTGCAGCGGGTGTATTCGCACGCCTGGCGAGGTCTTTGGCTTCTAGGTTGACTAGATCCGTTAGTAGCTCACGCCAGGTCGTATGGTCCTTGAGTCCTAGCCGGGAGACAGTCTTCAGGGGCCACTCCCATTACTACATCCATGCAAGACACGTCAGTCCATCCTAGGTTTGGAGTGGTGAACAGACCAGTTAAGTGCTGCTCCAAATCCTGCATGGAAGTCCTCCACTTTTGACCCTTGAGGGCCTCAAGCTTTAACCTTGCCTTGAGCGCAATGTGCTTATCTTGATACTGCGCGATGAGGAGGTCCTCAAGAGTACGTACAGAATTTACTTTCAACCACTCAGTCAGGTCAATTCTCTCATGACCTGCACTAACAGCTTGGAGTTCTATGAAACTCAGTACGACGGGCTCAGTATTTGTGCCCATGATCATGCTTCAGTCTTCCTGCGGTGTTCGCAGTACCTCGAAGTATGAGCGCATGGAGCTGATACAAGAGGTGATGTCCCGCTTCCCATCGTACTTGGATGGCAGTGTGGCCGCCCTCTTGTCCACTATGGGACCGTTGTATTGTACGTCAGTAAGAACTGCGGCGTTTTGGGCTGATGTTCCTGCATTTGGGACTAGGACCAGTGCAAAAATGTCGGTGCTGCCGCTTGAGAAGCTGGCACCGATTCCTGCGCTCGTCACAGTTCCACTTGCTCTCTGCATGAGGACTGTGTTAGGGTGAGTGATTGGGACTGCGGCAGGACAAGGATTAGGAGGACTGGGGGCAGCCAGTTGGGTTTGTTTGAGGCTGACGATCTCAACCTGCAGCTCTTGGTTATGCTGCTCTAGAGTTGTCACACAGGACTCAAGATCTTCCAAGATCCGCAGTTGAACCAAGGTTGCAACAGCAGCAGCTAGCTTCTCTTGGAACCAGGCATCCCTAGACTCCGGAACCTCGAGGAGGGTCACTTGGGTAGCAATACTTGTGGCTTTGGATGGTGCCTCTGCCTCCCTCTCTCTGTGTATCACGTCCTCATAAAGTTTCTGAAAAAATGGTTTCTCGCTCTCGTTCGCTGCGTCCATCATGGCCTGCCATTGGGGAGATGAGATGTCTGCCATGCTGGAGGATGGGTTGTCAGTAGATCTCTCAAGAGGGGTCCGCTCTTTGCTCACGTTTGGACGAACACTCCTCTTACCCCTCCTCACACTCTCAAAAAGAATACCTTCTCTCTCCCTTCTCTCTCTTTTCGCTTTCTGCGCACGCGACTCAATGTTGGACATAGGTAGTTCAGATAAAAGAAAAACAAATAAATCACAAAGAGCAGAAGGTAGAACTCCTAGCTGGAGTGGCAATTCATTTGGACTTAGAGAATGACATTCACGCAGCAAAATAAAAATAAATAAATAAAAAGAAATGAAAAAGAGGACTGACTTAACGAACGGGCCCGGTCAGATTAGTTGGAGATCCCCTCTTGTCTAACTTGACTGCCGAATAAGTCAGCCGAAGAAAACTAACTGCAGCAATGGAGATTTCGAGGGGTGTATACGGTCGCCGAGCCAGACATGGGGCAGTATGTGAGAACATGCAGTAAGACCAGTCAAGATCCCCATGAAAGGAATGTCCTTACTAGTCGTGTGTCCCCCAGATTCAGCACGACAAAGAGATGCGTTGACGGCAACAAATTTGGGTCCTAAAGGTCCTGTCCCATTAGGCCTGGTCCCACTGAATCCCGCAGGGTCCCCAGTAGGTCGTGGACCAGGACCAATGAGATAGGTGTACCAAGTCAGTCCCAAACTGCCTCTACCGTACTAAAAAGGAAAATACAATTTTCAGCAAGAACCTACCCCTACAGCCGTTCAGAAGTGAAACGACAATGCACTGTACAGACCAAGATACATCATCCATGCATCCATCAGGTGAGAAAGCAATCCACATGCTCACACACACAACCAAGACCGCAGAGAAGAGGAAGAGAGCCCATCACAACCCAATAGGCCATGACGCACCAAGCAACCTCCCAGGGCCATACCCAGGTCACACGGCACTTACCTGTAAGGCCCGACCTCCAAAAATGTATAACGACTCACCCTCCTCTCTCATAGGTCCTCCTGACCCCTAGCTACCACTACACGAAGTGTCCTAGCATGACTAAGATGGCCTTCCTACACCCCTGTTGCAACGCCGGATCCTCCGTCAATGTTTGAAGACCAAAGTAGCAACTTGCAGGTCTTCGATGCAGATATGGCAGCCTCCGATCAAGTCTCCCTCTTGAGGGGAAGCCCAAAAGTCACTCAATGTCTTCTTGAAGTGCAAATTCCAGGTGCGGGTACCTCTCACTCTCTACTCCCTCTCGCTTACTCCAATCAGCCTCCTTTGTGTCTCGCCACCCCATTTAATCACACAAACAACCTGGTTAGGTCTGATGTCGACCCTACATGACCAAACCAGGTGGGGGCAGCATCCACATACCTCACTGCCCCTCTTAACCCAAAATCCAACCCTAATCCGAGATTAGGTTAGCCCTAACCTAATTCAGAATTAGGTTTAGAGTGACTAACACCTCTCGCTAGCAAGTAAGTCCGTTCTCATACCAATTGTTACAATCCTGGTCATTCCCAAAGAGCAATTTCACAATGAAAGACAATGCCACCCAATTGCGAAAGAAATGAAAGCACTTGCGAAGAGATAGAGACCAAAGAAGAGAGAAAGAAGAAGAAGAAGAAGAAGAAGAAGAAGAAGAAGAAGAAGGAGAAGAAGAAGAAGAAGAAGAAGAAGAAGAAGATGTACACCAGCAAGACTAATGATAAATCCCCCCCTTCTCTCTCCACCTTCCTCCTCCTCCTTCACTTCGCCAATCTTATTCTTCTTCCAGTAATAATAATAACAATGAGTGGGTGAAACAGAATCAATGTCTGAAGTTCCCTCTTACTGCTGACAACACAATAGGTCCACCATAGCTATGGCTTCCCCCTTCTTCCACCTCTCACATGCCTAGGCTATGGCGGTCTACTGAGGGTTCTGCCCTCCTGTGCAAAGGACAACGCAAAACAGATATGTCGATGCACTCCTGTCCAAAGGACAACTCAAAGCAGTTATGCCGCTGCTCACTAAGCCGCCATGCCTGACTCTGCCTCGAGCTTCCTTTGGTGTGGCACTACCCCAACTGGGGCCTTCCAGATGCAGAGCCCAACAAGGTGATGAAGATGGTGTCCACCATAGCCAGGTCGGTACCTCGCCACTCTCCTCCTTCGCCCCCTTCTTCCTCCTCCATAGGCTGGGCTGCTCGCCATAGCCAGGCTGAGCGCCCAGTTGCTCTTCACCTCTAGGCAACGCTTGGCTCCAGCAGCATGTCGCCAATCCTTGTGTACAGCGAATGAGGAGGTGTTGCTTGCTCCGTTTGAAGATATAGAGGCCTACTGGCCTCTTGGGCGGTGACTTCCTAGGCCGAGCGGCCTCCCAGCAACCGATACCTCTTCCCTTTCGGAGGGAAACATCATTGCAGGCTCTGCTATCGTCCAGGTTGCATGGATTGGTATCAGCCTACCTCTAACCTACCGCTACTGGGCCTCTAAAAATGCCAACTTTTGTCTTCTTCTCCTCGGCCTCCAGTACCCGACACTTCTACCATTACTTGAGTGGTACCGGCCTACCTGCTACTCGAGTGTTTTTTCCCGCTGCTCTAAGTGTCGTGGGCCTACCCCCGCTACTCGAGTGTTTTCCCCGCTGCAACCCTCAAAGTCATGGCCACAGGTAAGTACCGGCCCTGCGGGGCCTTTCAACCAATAAGTACCCTTGCGGGTCACACACACACTCAGCCGACAAGCACTCAGATAGCCATGCAAACCAGCAGGCACACACACGCACACAGGCTTAGAAATCACAGCAGGATGCAGGAATCTCAGCAAGGCATTCATTTCAGTGGCAAATCCCATAAATCAGCAGTGTTCTCAGTCAGTGTTTTGGCGGGTCATTACAGGTCTGATCCAGCGTCTCAGCCTGATCAAACCGCATACGACGCAGCCTTGTCAGCCTCTAACGTATCAAGTCTGGCCGCTCTACTTTTTATCTCTTTTTCTCTATCGGTTGCTTTCTTCATATCCTCCTCTAACTGCTGGCGGTGCCTCTCGACCTGTTGGATTTCTCTGAGCTCCCTCTCACGCGGGGTCAACGGGCTGAACTGCGAGCCCGCCATTTGACTAGAAGACTGTCTAGACCCTGTTGAACCGGAAGTGCCTGAGGAACTTGTGAAACTCAGTGGCATTCCCAAATGAGTCCCACTAGTCCCTGACGAGGACGCAGACAATGACGCAGCAGAGCTTGCACCGTTAGCCATTGCTGCTGCTTTGGCTGCTGTTGCCTACTCTCTAGCTGCTGCGTTTGCCGCGGCTATCCCCGCTGCTAGAGCACGGGCTCTGCGTTCGGCACGAAGCCGTCTTTCTTCTCCCTCGTCTAAGGTCCTGAACACGTGCGGAACCCTTAATGCTTCCGAACGTATAAGTCTCCTATTGTCAGCTCTATCATCACCAGGATCTGACCCACTCATTAGTTAGGCAGATAGTGTCTACACTAGAACCCCCTAGTGGAATCCTACCGCAGCATGTATCTGATCGGCACAAAATTTTCTATATATAGTTGTGTCCGGCAAGTCCCCTACTATACCGAATCAAGTGGCATGTCTACAACATTCACACAGATCGTCTACATAGTCTAGATGCACCCTGATTGGTTCAATTACAGCAGCATTAATTAGAACTGGCTATGGTAGCATACAACAGTCCTACACTAATCTGTCTGTGAGGTTAGCAGTCCGTCAACCAACTAATCAAAGGTACAAAAAGACAATGTAGCAGATGTATGATTGATGGGTATTGTTGTGTATACAGTTGAGCACCAATTGAAACCTACCCTCCCCTCAATCCAACCATCCGAACAGCATCATTGAGCAGGCAGTGTCTTCGTGTGTATCTCGGCCCACCCCTGTGCCCAAGTTGTCACCGAGCAAGCCAGCCCAACCACTCTTATTTACCCTCGTACGGCGACGAGCCTTCCTGTCCATGTGATCTGGCTGATCAGGAGGAATTTATAGAGCGCCCCCATGTCTTTAGGAACGCAGTCAGGACGACGATCACAGCCAGATTCACAATGAACTCCCAACCAGAAATGTTTATAGACGGTCTGCTAAGCGTCTGTCATGGGATGGCACACCCGGAGGAACTTCTATTAGCGCAGCAAGTGCCAAACAGGACAGCAGCCATCGCATGCGTGCACTACTCCCTGTGGGTTGGCATGGTGACCGTGACCCAAGTGCTTCAACCAGGGCCCTTCAGAGGCACCGCCCTTTCTCCTTCCAGATGCTTCCGGGAAGATTGTCGTCTCTCAAGGTAGCGCGCTCACGACACCTCACCAAAAGAGAGGACTCTCAAGTTGGACTCACTTCCTCACGGTAAGAAGAGATTGAGAGATAGATAAGGTAAGGGATCAACATACCTGGAGATAGCCGCCCCCAACCACAGATTGTCTCACCAATTGAGCTGATGTTGCACTTGATGACCGGTCATGACCTCGGTACCACYCACAACGCAATGCAGTGCCACCTTAGTCCAATGCCACATCAGCATGCTCTCATCACCAATCAAACATTCCGCTGTATCCCACGGCTAATAATGCCGTCAATAGCCTTCCGGTGCAACCCTCTCTACCCAGGGCGTGCACCTAGTGTAGCCTGACGTCACAAGTACCCACTGCGAAGAAGCATCGTCAACGCACCAAGTCTGTATAACGCCAGCATGCCGAAGGTAATTGGTGATCAAACCAGCTCCGATACCAAATTGCAAGGAACATGAGTATGGACGAAGCACAGAAATCCAGAATGCAATATCACACTGAAGTCCAAGTATTCAAAGCCAAAGCAGATAGTACAATGGAACCGAGTAACCATCCAATTGAGAATGATACAGAAGAATCGTGAGTCAATGTCCATGCCCAACAGGGCAACACCAACAGCATAACCCAAATGTAGCTCTCTCTTGTGAATGGTGCCAGGCGCCCTATCTACTCTACAGCCTATCCTACAACTACAGCAATGAACAGCAACCAGACAACTTGACTACCAGCGAGTGATGATGTCAACACCAATGCCGTATTCCACCATCACCAGGTACGTGTCCTCCTCCCCACTCTCTTCCTTGTACCCACACAGCGCCCTTCACCTCCGAAGTACCACCTTCGCCCTCACCTCCCCTGCACCCTCATGCGGCCCAGGCTATGGCCGCCAGTGCCCTCAGTGCAGGCAGCGCCCTACCGCCTAGCGCTGGCCTGCTTGCTCTTAGCGCAGCACTGCTTTGCATAGCGCAGCACACATGCATCCGCGCAGCGTGCCCGCAAGTCCCAGCATTGGCCAAGATCCCTGCTGCCTCGCCCTGCTTGCCTATATGCCAATGCAGCGTGTGGGCGGCCTCCCTTCAGCCTGCGACCGGGACCCAGAGGCTGAAGCCTACCCGATACAGTTGGGCCCCGGAGCAATGCAGTTGCGCCTCTCTCATCAAGGCCTGCCGCCAGATTCAGCTAGTGGGCCGATTTTCCCTTTGGCATTTCGGCCTCTCTACCCAGCATGCATTGTCGGCCTCACATTCGAGTGNTGCGGCCCAGGCTATGGCCGCCAGTGCCCTCAGTGCAGGCAGCGCCCTACCGCCTAGCGCTGGCCTGCTTGCTCTTAGCGCAGCACTGCTTTGCACAGCGCAGCACACATGCATCCGCGCAGCGTGCCCGCAAGTGCCAGCATTGGCCAAGATCCCTGCTGCCTCGCCCTGCTTGCCTATATGCCAATGCAGCGTGTGGGCAGCCTCCCTTCAGCCTGTGACCGGGGCCCAGAGGCTGAAGCCTACCCGATACAGTTGGGCCCCGGAGCAATACAGTTGCGCCTCTCTCATCAAGGCCTGCGGCCAGATTCAGATAGTGGGCCGACTTCCCTTTGGCATTTTCGGCCTCTCTTCCCAGCATGCATTGTCGGCCTCACGTTCGAGTGCCCAGGGCCTAACTAACTCAGAGGCCCTGGGCATTTCAGCATTTGCTGAAATCCGAGACTTGGTGCACTCCAACCAACTGGCGTGCTGCAACTGTATAGACCCCACTTCGTGAAATGTTGGCATAGAGGGCTCTTGTTGATTTGCTGGCCCGCCTTCACTTAGGGCGGGCACTAGGCTTGCTGGGGCCTTAGCCCAGAACATGTACATCATGGCAAGGCCCCTACTTGAGGGCTCAATCCTCACACTACAGTCTACATCCGGTTAAAGACAAAAAAACAATGCACTGTAGAAAGATATGGTGTCCAAAGCACAAGATACCTCATCTCTTCATCCATCAGGTGAGAAAACAGTTTGCATGCTCATACTCACAATCAAGACCACAAAGGAGTAGGAAAAGAAACCCACAGTAACCCCAACAGGGCAATCAATACCATGCACACACATACATGGGCATCTCGTAGGTGCACAACACTTACCTGAGTGGCTTGAGCTTTGAGAAGAATAGAACTCACCCCCTCTCATATGGTCCTCGTGACCCTTTAACACAACCCCTACACTAGTGTCCTTTCTACTAGGAGTATCTGATTCCAACACCAAAGAGCAACGCCGGATCCCCGGCCGATGCTGAAGAACAAGGTAGCAACTTGCAGTCCGTAGATGCAGAATGGCTGCTTTCCCTCAAGCTCGCCTACTTGAGGGAAGCCCTAAAGTCGCCAAGTGTCTCAATTGAATCAGATTCCAGCTGCGAGTGCCTCTCACTGACGCCTCTCCCAACTTGTAGCACGAAGTCTTCTCGAAGTGTCTCGCCACTCCAAACTTACTCTCACACAACCTAGTTAGGTCAAGTGTCGACCCAACACGACCTAACCAGGTGGGGGCAGCTTCCCTTAACCACACTGCCCCGCTTCCCTCAACTTCCAGCCCCTACCCTAAGTGGTAGCCATCCACTTAGGTTAGGGTTGGAGCGGCAAAGTCAACTCTCGCCACCAAGTAGAATCCGCTCTGATACCAATGTTATGATCTTGGCCAATTTCGAAGTACACATTCATGAGAAAGTACAATACCGTTCAATTGCAAAAAGAATGAATGAACTTGAGAGGAGAGAGAGCGAAAGAAGAAGAAGAAGAAGAAGAAGAAGAAGAAGAAGAAGAAGAAGAAGAAGAAGAAGATGATGAAAGAAAGAAGAAGAAGAAGAAGATGAAAGAAAGAAGAAGAAGAAGAAGATGTACGCCAGAAAAGACCAATGAGAATTCCCTTCTTCTTTACCAACCACTCTCCTCCTCCTTATCTCCTCCCCTCTTATTCAAACAAGAAATAATAATAATAATGTTGAATGGCTGAGCCAGAATCAATGTCTGAATCCCTCTTCTACTGCAGGTATCACATGAGGTCCACCATAGCCATGGCCACCCTTTTCCTCCTTTCTCCAAGGCCGAGGCTATGGCGGACTACCAGGACATTGCCCTGCTGTGCGAAGGACTTCACAAAGCAGCTATGGATGCTCTAGCTCAGGCCACCATGCCTGACTCTGCCTCGAAGCTTCTTGGTGTAGCTCTGCCTCAACTGGGGCCTTCCAGATGCAGCGGCCACCAAGGTGATGAAGATGGCATCCACCGTAGCCAGGTAAGAACCTCTGGCTCTGTCCCTCTTCCCAGTCCTTGTCTTCCTCCTCCTCCAGCCTGTGCTCCTCCACCATAGCCGCGGTGGAGAGCTGGGCGCTCTGTCCTCCCCAGCAGCGCTGCTCCAACCAGCGTTGCTCCAACCAGCGCTCCAAGCAGTGTGTCGCCAAACCTGCACACTGAATAATGAGGAGGAGCACTTCGCTCCTCCTGGAGATATAGCGGCCTGCTTGCCTCTTGGCGAGTGACTTCCTAGGCCGCGCGGCCTCCAAGCGACCGTTACCTCCTCCCATTCGGGAGGGAAACACCATTGCAGACTCTGATATTGCCCGTACAGGCCCTAGACTCAGACTGGTTGCACTGGTACCTGCCTAGACCTAGCCTACAATTACTGGGCCTCTAAAAATGCCAATTTTGTCTTCTTCTGCTCGGCCTCGAGTACCCGGCACATCTACCTCTACCTGGTGTGGTACCGGCCAACCTGCTACTTGAGTGTTGTTCTGCTGCCTTAACTGTCGTGAGCCTCCTTCCCCGCCACTTGAGTGTTTTCCCTGGTGCAGCCCTCAATGCCACGGTCACAGGTAAGTACTGGCCCATTGGGCCTTCCACACGGACAAGTACCCTTGCGGGTCACACACACACTCAAACGGACAAGCACTCAGACAGGCATGCAGACCAGCAAGCACGCACACACTCAGACTTAGAAAAGTCAGCAACAAGCGGGAAACTCAGCAAAGCATACATTCCATTGGCAAAACTCGGAAATCAGCTGTGTGTCTCAGTCCATGTTTGGCAGGTCCTAACACCTGGAGTAAATCGCAGAACCAGTTTTTGAACTCTTATCCCTCTTTTTTATTACCCACTCCCCTATCCCGACTTAGCATACAGGTAAAGGGATTAAATCCAAAAAAGAAGAAAAAAGATTACTTCTGACCTCCCCATCACATGGGGTCCAGACTTGTCTCCTGGTGCACATGGGGACCAGGTTCGTGTCCTCGTGTGCATTGGGACCGGGTTCATGTCCTGGTCCACGTTGGGTCAGTCTCAATGGATTGGGTTCACAACTACACCAGGACACATGGAGAGAGAGAGAGAGAGAGAGAGAGAGAGAGAGAGAGAGAGAGAGAGAGAGAGAGAGAGAGAGAGAGAGAGAGAGAGAGAGATGTTTCAGATGGTCGACCTTTGCCAGTTCCTTGGCATTTTCTTCTAAGAGGCTTCTTGTTTCTGACTGTGCAACATTTATTCTTTGTTTTTTGGCCCGTTACAATGCTGTTTTGTCAGCTTGATTGTCATAAATTGAAAGAAAATGGCAGTTTGAAGGGCACACATGCAAAGTGACGTACACTGGCTGTTTCAATGTTTTTTTTCTCAGGAGCAAAGCCCCTACCATCATCCACATCTCTCAAGATAAGTGAGCCCACTCATAAAGCAATTGCGGATGAGTCACAGGCGGCAAGCCTTGATAAGATTGTGTCCATAACGGCAGCTGAGCGGGATGCGATCAATGAACTCCCATTAAGCTCTCCCAGGTTGCCGAGGGCGCTTCAGCCAAAGGATTTCTTGCGGTATCCACCATAAACCTAGTGCTATGTCTTGGTCAGCTCCCAATGGAAAATCTCACGAAGAGACAATGCCATTCAATTGGAAATCAAATGGAGGAGATCGGAAAGAGAAGAAGACAAGGGATGAATAAAAATGAAGAATGGAAGAAAAAGGAGCAGATAAACACAAGTTGGAAGCGCCCTCATTGCAAGGAACCCGACTGTTCATCACTTGCTGGAGTGCATCAGATCACATGCATATATACAGATTTTACAGATTGCGATGTCTCACACAAAGCCCAATAGAAAATGAATGAGAACCAGGAAGCTCAACTCAATTATCAAAACAAGATTAAGAGAGGAAATTCGTGAGTCCAAAATGTATAGCGCTGAACAGAGTTACGAATCTTCTTCGATCAACGTGAGTTCCAAGCCTGGCGCTCATCAGCGCCAGCTGCCAAATGTCAAGAACAGCGACCAACAGGTAAGTGTCACCATAGCTCACACCTCCCCCTCTCTCGTCTGCCTTCTTCTCTCTCTCCCTCTATGTCTATTGTCCTGGTCTACTCCCACTCATCATGCATGCACACTCCCTATCACACGAGGATCTACTTTGAATACTACTCACTGAGCTCTCCTACTAACTATCCCTACTAATGTACTAACTAGCGCTGGCGCAGCTCTGGCTGCCTTCCCTCTAGCCAGCACTCTCTTCACTCTCACATAGTGCTGCTCTTCAGCCTAGCGCAGCCGACACACATCTGGTGCACAAATGCCACAACATTTCTACACTCTCATGCGAAGTGAGCATCCGTCAAATGGGAGGCTGGCCAGTCCTTTATAGTGCTGGACTGGTCTGGCGTGCCCTGCATTCAGCCTCAAGTGTCTGGGACTCCTGCCCAGTACCCGTTGTTGCAAAGTGTGTGTCCCGGTATCTTTTCCCATGGTCTGCTGCTGCTTTGGGCCATCGGGCCTGTCTTTTGGACTCCTGGTCTGAATCAGTACTGACTCGTGGGATTATGACTGGACTGGGACTGTGGCCTTTGACTCATTGTCGAACAGCCGTGACTTTCCATCGAGGGGACATGACCCTTTCTCAGTCTTAAGAACTGTGTCCAATACCTGTTCGTTCAGGACCATTTTGTGACTGTTCAAAATGACCTTTTATTTCATTATGGATGTCACATTTGCCTCAGGAACTTTGTCTTTTGGGTTGCTGCTCGTGAATTTAAGTTCTGGCCGACAGGGCCTCTCGCTGTTGGGGTACTTATCTGGGGTCTAATCCGTAAAGGCCCTTTTACTCTCGCCGGCCTAATTTCGAAGTCCTCTGAGAAACCCTTATCTGTCCACAATATTGAGACCTCTTCTTGCTCTTTCATAGTAAGATACTATGTTCGGTGCAGTTTCAATTAGCTCTTCCCTAGTAAACCAGCAGTCTTCACTTGGATCTTGATATGCAAATCTGACTTTATATTGCCGCTGAGGTCTACCTCTATGTCTACGTCCAGTCTGGATAGTACTTTCAGCAACGATCTTATCAACATCAAATTTCCCATCCATATTTGGAGGAATTGTTGACCTTCGATTGGGAAACAGTTCGTTAAATACACAAGGTAAGAGCTTTGACGCATGGAACATTGGGTAGGTATGCAAATGTGGAGGTATCTCAATAACATAGGAGGGTCCATCTACATCCCTTATTACATCCAAAACTTGCCACGGTCCTCTGTAGGTAAAAAATTCTGAGATATGTTTCCCTGTGGGATAAATTCTTTCGATTTCACCCAAACCAGATCACCTACAACAAACTGAGAAGGTCTCCTGTGCTTATTGGCCTGTTCAATCATTTGGTGTTGCGCTTTTATTATATTCTCCTTTACCTTTTCTAAATCTTTCTGATACTGTATTGCGAACTCTCTGGTTCCTGGCGGAAGTTAATGTGCTCTATCCGGGTTTGGATATTCTATAGGTCTGCGAGGACTTCATCCCACATGTAACTGCATCGAAGTTCTGCAAGTAGACAAGTGCACAAAGTTATTATAGGCACTAGCAACTTTGTGCAAATGTTCATCCAGTTAATCTGATCGGGACGAATGTACATACGCAGTGTCTGCTGCAAAATCTTGTTCATTTGCTCAGTCTGCCCATTTGTCTCACGGTGTCGGCCTGATGACATTGTCAGTTTAGAGTCGTAGACATTCATTAGTTGTTGCCAATGTTCACTAGTGAATCGAGAGTCTCTGTCACTAACGATAGTTAAGGGATGATTGTAGTCCTTTACCCAGTGGTTACAAAATTCCCGAATTACTAAGTCAGTTTTAGCTTCCGCAGACAATGCTACAAAAACAACAAACTTGCTGAATCTATTAACGATTACCATAACTTGACTTTTTCCATTTCTGCTTTTCACCTTAGTGTCTATGAAATCTATGGACACAGAGTCTCCAGGACCTGTTGGGATAGGCAAGGGATTCAATAGACCAAGGGGAGGTTGCATGGTGCTTTTGTTCCGTTGGCACACTTGACAGCCTTGCACATATGCAATACAATCAGATTTCATTCGAGGCCAGATAGAAGAATGCAAGAGATTAGTGTAGGTTTTCCTCCATCCGAAATGGCCTTCGGTATCATGGCATTCTCCTAAGATCACACTTTTGATCTCTTCCTTGTCCGGATACAAAGCCTATCATGCACATCAGTTCTTTCAAAGAACAGTCCTTGGGTTACCCGATAGTTAGGAAACTCTTGTGGCTCTTCTTGAACACGTTTCAGCATAGCATCATAAATAGGATCAGTGGAATAAGCATTCCTAATCTTATCTTGTAAATCGGTGCCTATGTCTACATATGTTTACAATAACACCAAAGAAATCAGATCTTCGACTTAACGCGTCAACAACAACGTTATACTTACCCTTTACTGGCTTCAGCTCAAAGTCATACTGATCGATTTTCGCAACCCACCTGGTCAGTTTAGGTGTCATTCGGGTCTGCGTCTTTAGCCAGCGAAGTGTCTCATGATTTGAGTACACTTTGAAATGGCAACCTAAGAGATAATGACGCCTGATCCAAAGCTTCTCGGAGTGCGTACAACTCTCTTTCATACGTAGAAGCAGCGACTTTCTCACTAGGTAGTCATCGGGACATAAACTCGACAGGTCTGTATCCATTCCCGTCATCTTGTTGGAGTACAGCGCCTATCCCGTACTGACTGGCGTCGGTAGTAACAACAAAGGGCAAAGAAGGATCAGCAACTTTCAAAACCGGATCGTTAATCAAACATTTCTTTAGACGTTTAAATGAAGACGTACAATCTTGGTCCCACTTCCAGATCGTTTCCTTCTTGAATAGTCTGCGAAGAAGAGCAACAATTATCGTAAAGTGTCTTACGAATTTACGATAGTAGCTAGCCAATCCAAGGAACGATCGTAGTTCCGTCAATGTACGTGGGTTAGGCCAATCTCGAATGGCTGCAATCTTTGCATCTTCCGGTTTGATGTCATCCCCGTCTATAACGTGCCCCAAATACAACACATGACGCTTTGCCCACTCACACTTCTTAGGGTTTAACTTCAATTTTGCCTCGCGCAATTTATTTAGCACAAGTCGAAGGTGCTCACAATGTTCACTTAGACTTTTACTAAAAGTCAAAATATCATCTAAATATATAACAACGAATTTATCAAGCCATTCACGAAAAAGTTCATTCATCGTCCGCTGGAAAGTTGCATGTGCATTAGTAAGACCAAAGGGCAACACAATGAACTCATAGTGCCCATACCTTGTACGAAAAACAGTCTTATATTGGTCTTTTGATTCTACCTCAATCTGATGGTAGCCAGACTTCAGGTCAATTTTCGTAAAGTACTTGCTACCTTGAACCCTATCCAACAAATCATCGATCCTGGGTAATAGCTCAACATTTTTAATAGTTATATCATTTAATCTTCTATAATCAATACACATGCGGACCCCGTCATCTTTCTTTGCCACAAATAGCACTGACGCACCATAAGGCGAAGATCTAGGTTTTATCCATCCCTTTTCCAACATTTCATCGAGCTGGGTTCGCAGTTCATCCAACTCTTTGGGTGATATCCTGTAAATTGAACCCGTAGGAATCTGACTTCCGGGTATAATCTCAATGCGATGTTTTATGGATCGTTCTACCACACCGCATGGGACCTCTGCTACATCTGCAAATTCTTTCAAAATTTTCTGAACTTCTGGGGACTTTGCCTCTTCCTTATATTCACCTTTCTTGACTGGGCGCACATATGCCACAAATACTTGATCATTTAGATTATACTTCTTTACATGGCGGGCGAACGCGGGGGCACTCATGCAACAATGAGCTAAGCTGCTTTCCTTACCGGATTCATGAAATAGGCGGATTTTCTTTTTTCCACCATGCGGACTAGGGAGCCAACACTCATGGTCCCTTAGCTTCACATCCGCATTTGCAGCTTCCCCCCAATTTGTACCTAAGAGAATGTCAAAAGGGAGATTATCTTCCACCAAGAGAGTCAAAGAGTGGAGAACGCGTTCCACCTTCCCCTCTACCTTGAGCGGAAAGTATGTCTGAATCCCCTCAACATATCTATCCATTACAATCTCGCAACTATTCACTAATTTACTTATTAGTTATTACGGGCTCTTCCAACTGCTTTACCTTAAGCCCGAGACACACTTTTTGCAAGCCTTTCTTACTAATATAGTTGCGTGTTGACTCACTGTCAATCATACCGTCTCCTCTTACTTTACCAACTTCTAGATCTGCAATAATTAGCTGCCCTTTCCGTTTTTTTCATTTCGACCCTGGCTTTGCGACGAGTGGTCAACTCATCACCCATGCCTGCGAGGGATCCACCTAGAGAGGTACATACACTAACTACCTCTGGACAACTGACTAGGTGGGGATCGTTTATCTCTTCAGTTTCTGCCACGAGAACCTTAGAATTGGAGGATGTCAATCTGCTTGCATATGAAGTTCCTGTAGAGGCAACTGAAAACCCTACTAGCTGTTCCCTTTTGGTTGTTTATAATATGGGCAGAAGGGAACAATGTGGTTGGGGTCACCACAGTTGAGGCACTGATCGGCGACTTTTCTATCTTGCCAAACTTTTTTTGTAATCCCTAGCTTTTCCCAAGGTCTGCCTTCGGGCAAGCCAAGATGGGGGGGATACGAACGATCCCAGTTCTCAATCCACGTGCCTCTTCCTCTTCCCCATGTGGAGTTGGGTCCTCGGCCACCTTGCGCGGGACCATTGCCCCTTCCTCCCACGTAGTAGCTTCCTTCGTCACCACCCCTCTAGGTGTCGGGTCCTCTTCCTCCACGACCGCGGCCTCCTCTTCCTCTGCCACGGCCTCTTCCTTGTCGCCCTCCCCCGCGGGCTGCAACGGCCACGTAGTCCCCCTCCTGAACTACCGATCCATTGTCTGCATCTCCCTCCAGACCATAGTCTATCTGATCATAGGAGAGAGTTTCGACACCTTCTTCTTCAAAGGTCAGAAGAAAGTTGTCTTTCCCATGAATACTTCCTGAAATGGTACGGTTTTGCCATTTCTTGCCGGCTCGGCCTACCGCTATCCTACCACTACTGGGCCTCTAAAAATGCCAACTTTTTGTCTTCTTCTGCTCGGCCTCCAGTACCCGATACCCCTACCACTACTTTGAGTGGTACCGGACTACCTGCTACTTGAGTGTCTTTCCCCGTTGTTCTAAGTGTTGCGGGCCTACCCCCGCTACTTGAGTGTTTTCCCCCCTGCAACCCTCAAAGTCACGGCCACAGGTAAGTACCGGCCCTGCGGGCCATTCAACCAACAAGTACCCTTGCGGGTCATACACACACTCAACCGACAAGCACTCAGACAGGCATGCAAATCAGCAGGCACGCACACACACAGACGTGGAAATCACAGCAGAATGCGGGAATTTCAGCAAGGCATTCATTCCAGCTGCAAATCCCAGAAATCAGCAGTGTTCTCAGTCTGTGTTTTTGGCGGGTCATTACATTACCCCCCTCTCAAGAGCGAGGTCCCCTTCGAGCGAGTAACTCATTCAGAGTTGGCACAAAATGCATCGTAGGAGTAAATCAGAAAGAGAGACTTAGTAAGTCCGTGAGGAGTTATTTTTGCAACAAATTTAGCAATCTGTCCCTCAGCGATTTGTCGTTCATAAGCGTTCACAACACGGGGAGCACTCTTTAGCAACTCTTTTCGGTCAATCCAGAAGAATTCAGTCAACGGGTGATAGAGGAAGTGAAGCTTGTACTGTTTGTTCCTCCCTCTTCCCTCGTGAGAAACGATTTTTTCTATCTCACGGCCGTCGTCGATAAAGCGAGGTATCATAGGGTCTCGGAAGGGAAACGTCTCATCATCAATGTGTGGGAACAGTTTGGACGCATGAAAGACCGGATACGTGCGCAGATGAGGAGGCACGWCAATCACATATGAAGGACCAAAATCATCCCCAATCACCTTCAGAATCTGCCAAGGGCCATAGTACAATGGAAGGAGTTTTCGTGATATGCCCTCTTCATCAGAAAACTCAGACATTTTAACCCAAACATAATCCCCTACTTTGAATTTTTCTTCTTTGCGCAACTTGTTAGCATGTTTGATCATGGCATGTTGGCGCTTGTTCATGGCTGCAATAACAACTTTGAGCAAGCATGCGTACTTGGCATTGTAGCCAGGCATGTCGGGCATCAGACAAGGTGACCGTTCAGGGAACAGATAGGAGAGGGGGTTACGCATCGGCCAACCATATTGCAACTGGTTTGGTGTCATGCCAGTTGCAGAGTGAATGGAGTTGTTATACAGCCTCTTCACTTTGTGCAGCTCCTTGTCCCACGTGTTGTGATCTGGAACAATCAATGCGCGCAGTAGTTGGATGACAGTCTTGTTGATCTCCTCGGCCAATCCATTGGCTTCGGGGTGTCGACCAGAAGTCCTGTTCAGTTTAATGTCATAGATTTGAGAGGTGAAGTCCTTCCAATCTTTACTAATGAATCGGGTGTACCGATCAATCACAATGGTTTTCGATTGGCCATACTGCAGAATATACTGCTGATGGAACTCTTCGATGACAAGCTCGGTTGGTGCATGGGGAGGGAAAGGAATCAGATTCATAAATTTGGAGAAACGATCCACGATGACCATGACCTGTGAATTCCCTGCTTCACTCACCTTTCCCATGTCCGTGAAGTTGATGGAGATCGATTCACCGGGTCCATCAGGAATGGGGAGGGGTCTTAGCAGGCCATAAGGCTTATGCCTGTGGACCTTGGTTCTCTGACATACCTGACATTCAGCAATAAATTTCTGAGCAGATCCTTTCATTCCTGGCCAATCAAACTGCTGCAGAAGACTTCCATAAGTCTTCTCAAAGCCGAAATGTCCACTCCGACCATGTGCCAGATCCAAGAAATGAGTTCGGAGAGGCGCATGGTTGGGTACACACAAACGGTCGAACTTCCCATACCGGCGGAATACAAGACCCTCGCACTCATGAAAATCAGGCTGACTGTTAGGGTCAGCCTTGAGCTGCTCAAGGATGGGACTAAGGTCCGGATCCTTGGCGGTGTGTTCGACCAGATCCTCCTTCAGTTTCCTTCGGAGGTCATACGAACCCACAAGGCAAGTCAAAAATTCAGGATGGCGAGACAGCGCATCAGCAACCCGGTTATAACATCCTTTCTTGTGTTTCAATTCAAAGCTGTAGATATCAATGTCATGCAACCAGCGGGTCAATGTAGGAAAGAGTTCAGATTGTGTATGAATCCACTGCAAGGTCTGATGATCTGCGTAGACCTTGAAGTGGCGACCCAAGAGGTAGTGCTTCCAATGTGCGAGAGCCTCGCGCAGGGCGTAGAGCTCACGCATATACGTGGAAGTTGCTACCTTGTGGCTGGGCATGCGTTTGCTGTAGTATTCGAGCGGACGCATGCCATCACCATCATCTTATTACAACACTGCACCAATCCCGAATTGGCTCGCATCCGTAGATACGAAAGTGAGGTTGGGATCTGCAATGCGAAACACAGGATGACTCACCAATGCCTCTTTCAAGGCTTGGAATGCAGTCTCACACTTCTCACACCATGCATAGGCAACATTCTTGCTGGTTAGTCTGGAGAGAGGGTGAGCAATGACAGAAAATTTGGGCACAAACTTCCGGTAATATGAGGCCAGACCAAGGAAAGAACGCAATTCGCATACGTTTGCCGGTTGAGGCCAGTTTCGGATGACCTCAACCTTGGTTGCCTCCAGCTCAAGGCCGTTTGCAGACAACCGATGTCCAAGATAGATGACGCTGTCCCTTCCAAACTCAGATTTCTCTCAGTTGACCTGCAAAACTTCCTCAAGGTGCTTGAGGTGCTCTTTCCATGGTTTTATTGAAGATTAGGATATCGTCAAGGTACACAACCACAAACCTGTTGAGTTGATGGCGAAGTACCTTGTCCATGAGGCAGTGAAATGTGGCCGGTGCATTCGTAAGACCGAAGGGCATAACGATGAACTCGTACAGCCCATCGCGTGTTTTGAATGCAGTCTTGTGCTGATAACTCGGATCAACTTCAATCTGGTGGTAACCAGATTTGAGGTCGATCTTGGAGAAGACCTTGCAGCCACCTGCCGCATCTAGCAAATCATCTATGCGAGGCAAAGGGTAAGCATTCTTTCTGGTGATCCGATTAAGGCCACGATAGTCAATACACATTCGGAGTTTGCCTCCTTTCTTTGGCACAAACAGGACAGGTGCACCAAACTCAGACTCACTGGGACTAATCCATCCACGGTCAACCATATCATCAATCTGCCTCCTCAACTCCTTCAACTCGCCTTGTCCCATACGGTAGATGCAGCCCTTTGGAGGAACACTCCCCTCTATTATCTCGATTTTGTGTTTGACCGGACGCTCGGAAACTCCACGAGGCTCGGCCAAAACTTCAGGGAATCGATCTAATAGCTGGCGAATGTTTGCTGGGACTTCCGGTGGAGGATCATCCTCATCAGGAGATAGAAAATTAGACTGAGAATTTACGGCAATGACAACCGGATTAGAAGTACTTGGATCAAAAGTAGAAGGATTATTCACAATAGAAGTAGATGGATTAGAAGTAGCGGTGATAGAAGTAGAGTTACTTACCGTGGTAGAAAATGCAGCAAAAGTAGAAGGCACATGGAGAGGCTTTACAAAAGCTACATGTACATGCTCAATCTCCTTGCGCCTGCGCACTGATTTGCTGAGTTTGGTTGCACTTAGAAGAGTCACAGGGAACTCGCGTGTCTCATCCAATAGGACGGTACGCTCGTTCCCCTTGGCATCACGCACCACCAACTGGTTGTCCGCCCACGTGGTCCTTAGGCAATGAGCCTTTAGCCAGCCCAAGCCAATGACCGCGTCGAACGAACACTGGTCCATGACGTAGAAGTTGAGCTCATGTGTGACAGTGTGGTCCTTGTCAAAGGTGACGCGCACACCTTTGACAGCATGTGTAGAGGTGACAAACTCTTGGTTGCCCACCTTGGTCTGACAAGGGTTCTGCAGTTCCACTTGCTTCATTCCCAGGCCCGCCTTACGAATCCCATTATGAGAAAAAAAATTAGTGGTTGAACCACTGTCAATCAGCACGCGGATGTATCGGCGGTAGATGAGCAGTTTAAAGAAGGTTAGCTCCACACTCCCTTGAACACGGCGTTGCTGCTTGAGCTGCAGCCAATGTTCCATGTGAGCGTGGAAGTCAACTTCCTTAGACTCCTCCCAAGGCTCAGTGTACAACACATGAACTGCAACAGCCTTGGAATCAGCGTCGTTCGGGGCTTCAGGAGTGGGTTGTTGATCAGATTCAGGCTCGTTAGAGAGGCCTGCAACTGATGTTCCAGCTTCCCTTGTTGTAGGGAGTGCTGATGACTCCTCTACGCCCTTTGCTTGTTTCCCTGGAGTCTGTAACAGTCCTGCACAGCATGCCCAGGCTTTTGACAATGCAAGCATATGCGCAGTTTAGATCTTCTTTCCCATTCCTTTTGACTGATACGGAGGGTTTCCCAAGGCTTGGTAGACGCATCCTCCGGTTTCTCAGGGATCTTCGCATTCTTGCGGAGGTGGACAACAGTTCCCTTACCCGAACCACAGTTAGGCCCCTTGTTTGAAGCAGTCTTTCTAAAAGCATTAAGTTTTTCATCTTCATTTACGTCAAACTCAATGGCTGATGTGGAACAGCCCATATCGGAGTCCGACTCTAGATCGTCATCTAGAGACAAATCATCCGCGTAGGACTGATCTTCAACCTCTCGATGATCATGCAGTGCAAGCTGGTTGCTGCTCCCATACCGCTTGCGTTGTGGTTTCCCACATGCAGCGGGCGCCTTCTTCCGCCTGGCGAGGTCCTTGGCCTCTAGGTTGACTAGATCCGTCATGAGCTCTCGCCAGGTAGTATGGTCTTTGAGTGCTAGTAGGGAGAGGTATTCTTTAGGGGCCACTCTCATGACTACATCCATACAAGACACGTCGATCATTCCCAGATCTGGAGTAGTGAGCAGACCGGTCAAGTGTTGTTCCAAAGCCTGCATGGAGGACCTCCATGTTTGGCCCTTAAGGGCCTCAAGCTTCATTCAGCCTAGCCTTGAGCGCAGCATGCTTATCCTGGTACCGTGTGATGAGAAGGTCCTCAAGGGTGCATACAGGGGTTACCTTCAGCCACTCAGTCATGTCAATTCTTTCATAACCTGCAACAATAGCTTGGAGCTAAATGTAATTCGTACGGCGGGCTCAATATTAGTCCCCATGATCATACTTCGGTCCTCTTGCGGTGTCCGCATGACCTCGAAGTATGACCGCATGGAACTAATCCAAGAGGTGATGTCTGCTTTCCCGTCGTACTTGGACGGTAGAGTGGCCACCCGTTTGTCCACTACGGGACCGCTGTACTGAACTCCAGTAAGGACTGTGGCGTTTTGGGCTGATGTCCCCGCATTTGGGACTATGACTAGTGCAGCACTGTCGGCGCCGCGAGGAGTTGGCATACATACTCGTGGCTCTGGCTGCAGCCTCTGCCTCCCTTTCCCTCTGTACGACATCATCATAAAGTTTCTGGAATAACTGTTTCTCGTTCTCCTCTGCCGCGTCCAACATAGCCTGCCATTGGGCAGAGGTGATGTCCGCCATGCCGGAGGAAGGAGTGTCAGTAGATCTTCCAAGAGGGGTCCGCTCTCTCCTGATGTTTGGACGAACGCTCCTCTTGCCCTTCCTCACACTCTCAAAAAGAACACCTTCTCTCACCCTTTCTTCTCTTCTCGTTGTCTACGCACGCGTCTCGATACCGGACATAGATAGTTCAGATGAAAGAAACAATCAGAAAGTTCACACAGAGAAGAAGGTAGAACTCCTAGCAGGAGCGACAATTCATTTGGACTCAGAGAATGGCACACACCGAAAAAATAATATATAAGTAAATAAATAAATAAATAAAAATAAAACGGAAGAGAGGACTGACATAGAACGAGCCCGATCAGATCAGTTGGAGATCCCCTCTTGTCTAACCTGACAAGGGACATGCATCATAATAAGTCAGCCAACGAAAACTAACTGCAGCAATGGAGATTTCGAGGGGTGCAGACGGTCGTCGAGTCAGACGCGGGGCAGTATGTGATAATAGGCGGTAAGATTATTCAATATCCCCTTGAAAGGAATGCCCTTGCTAGCCGTATGTCCCCCAAGTTGAGCGCAGCAAAGAGATGCACAGGCGGCAACAGTTTTGGGCCTGAAAGGTCCTGTCCCGTTGGGCCTGGTCCCAATGGGTCCCGAGGGGTCCCAAGTAGGTCGTGGACAAGGACCAACATGATAGGGATACCAAGCCGGTCCCAAACTGCCTCTACCGTACTGAAAAGGAAAAGACAACTTTCAGCAAGAACTTACCCCTACAGCTGTTCGGAAATGAAAAGACAATGCACTGTAGAAAGATATGTCATTTAGAATAGATACATCATTCATCCATCCATCAAGTGAGAAAGCAATCCACATGCTCACACACACAACCAGGACCTCATAGAAGAGGAAGAGAGCCCATCACACCCCCAACAGGCCATGAAGTACCAAGCAACCTCCCACGGGCATACCCAGGTCACACGACACTTACCTGTGAGGCCCGGCCTCCAAAGATGGATAACGAGTCACCCCCCTCTCTCATAAGTCCTTCTGACCCCTAGCTACCACTACACGAAGTGTCCTAGCATGACTAAAATGGCCTTCCTACACCCCTGTTGCAACGCCGGATCCCCCGTCGATGTCTGAAGATCAAAGTAGCAACTTGCAGCAATCCGATGCAGATATGGCAGCCTCCGATCAAGTCTCCCTCTTGAGGGGAAGCCCAAAAGTCACTCAATGTCTTCTTGAAGTGCAGATTCCAGGTGCGAGTACCTCTCACTCTCTACTCCCTCTCGCTTACTCCAATCAGCCTCCTTTGTGTCTCGCCACCCCATCCATTCACTCAGTCAACCTGGTCAGGTCAAATGTCGACCCTACATGACCTAACCAGGTGGGGGCAGTATCCACNCCTTTGTGTCTCGCCACCCCATCCATTCACTCAGTCAACCTGGTCAGGTCAAATGTCGACCCTACATGACCTAACCAGGTGGGGGCAGTATCCACATACCTCATGCCCCACTTAACCCTAACTTCCAACCCTAATCCGAAGTTAGGTTAGCCCTGACCTAATTCAGAATTAGGTTTAGGGTGACTAACACCTCTCGCCAGCAAGTAAGTCCGCTCCGATACCAATTGTTACGATCCTGGTCATTTCCCAAGTGCAAATTCACAATGAAAGACAATGTCACCCAATTGCGAAAGAAATGAAAGCACTTCCAAAGAGATAAAGATCAGAGGAGAGGTAAAGAATAAGAAGAAGAAGAAGAAGAAGAAGAAGAAGAAGAAGTACACCAGCAAGACCAATGACAATTCCCCCTTCTCTCTCTACCTTCCTCCCCCTCCTTCTCTTCACCAACCTTATTCTTCTCTCAATAATAATAATAACAATGAATGGATGAACCAGAATCAATATCCAAAGTTCCCTCTTACTGCTGACTCAACTCAACAACAACAACAACAACAACAACAACAACAACAACAACAACAACAACAACAACAACCAGTCCACCATAGTAATGGCTTCCCTCCTTCAGCCTCCTCTCTCATGCATAGGCTATGGCAGACTACTCCAAGCAGCTAGGGTGTTGCGCTGATGTCCGAAGGACAACCCAAGCAGCTATGGTGCTGCGCTGATGTCCAAAGGACAACGCAGAGCAGCTATGCCGCTGCTGACTTGGTCCGCTATGCCTGACTCTGCCTCGAGCTTCCATGGTGCCGCATTACCCCAACTGGGGCCTTCCAGATGCAGCGCCCAACAAGGTGATGAAGATGGTGCCTACCATAGCCAGGTAAGTGCCCCGCCACTCTCCTACTATGCCCCCTTCTTCCTCCTCCTCAAGCTGGAGTGCTCGCCATAGCCAGGCCGAGCTCGAGCGGCCCTTCACCTCCAAGCAGCGCTGCACCAGTCCAGCGCTGCGCTCCAGCAACATGTCGCCAATCCTTGCACACCGCAAATGAAGAAGAGCTCTTTGCTCTTCCTGGAGATATAGTGGCCTACCGGCCTCCTGGGCGGTGACTTCCTAGGCCGAGCGGCCTCCCAGCAACCGGTACCTCCTCCCTTTCAGAGGGAAACATCATTGCAGGCTCTGCTATCCTCCGCACAGGCCCTAGACCTGGGCTACTTGGACTGGTACCGGCCTACCGCTATCCTACCACTACCCGGCCTCTAAAAATGCCGACTTTTTGTCTTCTTCTGCTCGGCCTCCAGTACCCGACACCCCTACCACTACTTTGAGTGGTACCGGCCTACCTGCTACTTGATTGTTTTTTCCCGTTGTTCTAAGTGTTGCGGGCCTACCCCCGCTACTTGAGTGTTTCCCCCCCTGCAACCCTCAAAGTCACGGCCACATGTAAGTACCGGCCCTGCGGGGCCCTTCAACCAACAAGTGCCCTTGCGGGTCATACACACACTCAACCGACAAGCACTCAAACAGGCATGCAAACCAGCAGGCACGCACACACACAAACATGGAAATCACAGCAGAATGCGGGAATTTCAGCAAGGCATTCATTCCAGCGGCAAATCCCAGAAATCAGCAGTGTTCTCAGTCTATGTTTTGGTGGGTTATTACAAGTGTTTCATTTTGTCTTTGAGGGATTCCCAGTTCCTCCTTTACATGATATTTTATCAAGAAACAACAGGTCTGATATGATTGAGTTTGCACTCAAAGTGAAAAGAGACCAAAGACTCAAATGAGTCGACCAGATGTACTTCCAAAAATGAGACCATGGATTAAGTTGGGAAGTGGATATAGGAAGCCGAGTAAGGAGGATTTTGATAAACTACTTAATTCTCTTAATTCTATAATAAGGAGAGTTGTGATTCCCTACGAAATTGTAAGGTATGAGGCATTAAAGAATCTGGGATGAGAACATGAGGGTATGTATGTTCTTACCTGCTATTTTATTGACCTTGATGAGTTTGATATTGGGATCTACGTGCCATGACATAGGTTTGAAGAGTGTAGAAGTGGTCGATGTTGGCAACGGGCGTCAGATATAGTGCATGATGAAAAGAGAAGACTTGAGCAAGTAGGGGAGAGCTTCTCCTGGAGTACATATGTTAGGCCTTTCACTGGAATACCGTCACCGCCTGTTGAAGGGCTTACGTTTTCAAGGAATAGTTGGTCAGTCATAATAGATTTTATATGGAAGGTTAAGAGGGCTCAAGAAGAATACTCTCAATAGCAAGAATAACTGCTGCGAGAGGTAGACTTTATGAAGTAATCATGTTTAGTAATCCCTTGTAATCCTGAGATACGAGATTTGTCGTAAGGGAGCGAATAATATTTAACATTCAAGTGGTCAAATTCATGAACACTGGCAGCTTGGACGTAAGAATTTACGCTCCAGTATGCCTCGAGAGGGAAACTGGTTATTCGGAATGCAGGATGAGAGCATATGTCAGCCTTATAAGGACAAAGGAGTGACTTGAGAAATTATAGAGAAAAGTAACTTGGGAAAAAGGAATAAGGCAATTTGAGAGACTCCCTAGCTTCTTAACTACTGATGGCTTTGATGACAGGAAATACTGGTCACCTCTCTTGGAAGCTATTGCCATAGTAGGTAACGCAAGAGAGAGTGACTCTACAGTGGTGATGAAGTCCCTACTCTTAAACACCTTTGAACACCCGTTTGAGATCCCTGATTACACGCATCCAGAGATCTATCTCTCCTGAGATAGTCGATGATGATCGATAATGCCTGGTTCTGTTGAACATCTAACGTTTGGGGTTGTGCTGGAAAAAAAAATAGTCAAGACATAAGAGACTCTCCGGATCTCAGACAGAAACCTCTCTACTTTGGATGAACTTGAGTTCTTGCAACCTTTCTTTGATCGGACGAGAGATTCTGCTTTGAGAGTCGTTACTGACCAGACTGAGATCAATTATTTACTAAAGGTGGTGAGAGTGGGGATTACTAAGAGAATATCGTATCACTCCTCTA